ACCCTCAACCAGGTAAATTGACAGGGTTATTGCTGCAGCTGGCTCTCATGTGTTGGAAAGTGTGAGGATGGCACAGGATAAAATAGGGTTCAGATTTGTTGTTCACAAGATTGCTGTGGATTGTCCTTGACTCAATGGCACACAACCACAACAACCTACAGTCAACAGGTATTTGACAAGGAAACAAATCTATCAAATGGGGAAATGACAACTTCTTCAAAAATTGGTTCTGGAAAAACTGGACTTATACCTGAAGAAAGCTGAAATAGGTTCCAAATTTCATAACATACACAAACATCAATTCAAGGTGTATCAGTGACCTAAGGGTAAGGTCCCAAACCACAAACATTATAAGAGACAAAATGGGACCAAACTTAGAAATATTACTGTATATAATAAATAGGGTGACAAATATAGCCAAAAAATATAACCAGGAGAGGATAATATTGATGAATGGGACTGTGTAAAGATTAAGTCCCTGTGCACAACAAAAACTGTTTCCAGTATGATGAAAAGAAAACCTAATACTGGTTAGGGAAAAAATATCTGACAATGACATCTCAGACAAAAGTTTCAAAATAAAAGTTTGAAAAATCCTACAAGGCCTCTACAAGATTGCTAAACTAATTACCGTATGGGCAAAAGACATAGAAAGATGTCTCACAGAGGAAGACTTTCAGATTGTCCAACAGACACCAGAAGGAATGTTCAAAATCACTGGCAATAAGAGAACTGCAAATTAAAACTTCAATGAGATAACATCTCACTTTGGTAGCAGTGACGAAGTTTAACAGGATTGTTGTTGCTGTTAAGTGCCGTCGACTCACAGCGACCCTATGAACAGTTGTGTGACTTTCATTCTTTCTCCATGTTCATAGAGTTTCCCGAGGTAAGCTATTGTGGAAGTGGAGACCACTCCTGCTTCTAAGCTTGTTTTAATTGGGAGCACCAACAAACACTGTCCGCCCTCAGTAATCATTGTCACATTTGACACATCGGTGTCACAGTGTTCAGCTTCACAGCAACCACAAGCTGCCTCTGTACAGCAAGTGGACATTTTTCCCAATTTTATTCATTTGTTATGTGCTACTATCAAGAAATGGAGTAAATATCTAATGCTTTAATAGCCATCTGCATTGAAAGGTACATTCTTTAGATAGATTGCCCCCTCCCCCACTTTTCCCATTGCATTTGATCGGTTATTCATGTCTTGTTCCAGATTGTTTATTGCAATAAATATAATGACTGATAATCCATTCATTTCAGGTTAACCTTCTGCCATCCTGAAGTTTGAGTTTCTTAAAAAGAGGATATACCTAGATAGGAGCTGTCTAGGGCTGATATTTGTTTTTAATTATTCTAGTTCAGAGGAAAGAAATATGAAAAATGCAAAAATAACGTATA